TATTTTTCGGCTGGTTTGTCCAACACAATCGCACCCCCAGCAACTGCACTGGAAACAGTAGACAACACCTGAATTCTGTTCCTTTGTTATAGGATATTTCGGCCGCAGTACATGTTGTGGATTGTGGAGGTAGGCCTCTAATACTCGGCCACGAGTTTGGTGGGTAACGCTTCTCTTTCCGTGTTTTTGGTGGCATTCGCTTCACTTCAGTGAACGATCGCCGATAGCCGCTAGTTCTTAAAGGTTTCCGGTGGCTACCAAGCTGCACTGGGTATCTAGCTGTTGATATAGTGTGAGTATACAACTTTGCATTTACTGCAGCGGGTAGTTCCTATTGTAACTCAATAATTATGACTAGTTTGTTGGTTCGCTGTAGATAGACGCCGCTATTTTGCCGTCCCGTTATCGGCAGACGAGAACGTCCAGGAGCAGCAGTCTGCCCTCCACTTCTTCCATCATTAACTGTAAACCGGGAAATTTGAGTTCAATTGATCTGCGTAGTGGTTGATTCCACCCTGGTTTATGAGAAGGAAAGTGTCGTCAGCGTAGGCTGCCCAAGATTTTGGTTAAACTCTTCGATCAACCGTGTCTCTAGTTTTTGTATTACCACGTCGGCAATGCGCCCAGGGACCCTATTTGAGTGACTTGAATTTACTCCTATATCATATAACGTGAACCATGAGCCAGAGTATCCATTTGCTAAAAATGGGTGTACGAGAAAGTACCCGAAACGCCAAATACAAAATAAACCTCCTACTGAACGGTCTTTTTTCTTATGAATTATATCACTGTCTAAGCAGCTCATATAGAGAAATATGCAAAGAAAACTAGAGACGGAATGCGAGTAAGTGGTGATCCGTCTGTATTATTGTTGACCAAAGAGAACATTGCAGGATTTCACAACTTGTGTATTCGCAATTAACACCCTCTTCAGATGTTCAAGGCATACGAGCCGCTAACAGAAGAGTAAACCTGTCGCAAACCAATCATAATGTAATACGTGCTCGTCTTTTTCGTCATGTAGAATTAACTGAACATAAATAACAGTAGCAGAAGTATCAAGTCATGGTAATATATTTTTTTCAGCAAACTGGCATAGACAATGGAAACGTAGTATAGCTATTTCGGGCTGTTGATCCTCGTCAGCTACGTGCAGCCAACTCTAGTGTAGCTGCTGAAATTGCTGCCCCACCCGAGTTTCGAACTCGCGCCTCGCCGGTCAGGGGCAGGCGTCCTAACCATTGAGCCATCGAGTTCGATGTCTTGCCGGTTGTTGATCGAGAGTATATAGCATTGGTTTGTACACCGATCTATCTTTCAGGATGTGTCCATCCTGGGTTGATGCGTGGAGACGATAGGGAAAGAGGAGGTTCCGCTAGCGTTTAATTCATTTGACCTAGTCTTAAAAAACTAGACAGCCTCGGTGGGATTCGAACCCACACCGACAACTGCAAGGTCTTACTACTGATAATTTTCAAGTAGTGCAGCCCCCATGGGACATCTTTTGTCTGTCGTGTTGCTCCCTTTTTTGCCTAAGGTAACCCTACCCGATCCCTTGGCCAGACGTCTAAGTTCCTTAGACAAGGAGGGACAACTCTTCATAAATGTCTACGCAGTGAATCAGGACTCTCAACTGAGCACATCCTACCCCGCGGTAGTCCTTGGACCCCGATCGCCACTGGACTACTGCAATGCTCCCGCCCGCGCCCGCAAAGCGCATATGCCCATGGAGGATCGCCTGTCTACCCAGCTAACAGTCCACAATCTGCGCTGGCGCACCGACCTCGATTTTGACCTCCCCGTGGGCAACCTCCAGTTGCTGTTCCAACCTTGCCTTTTGGGCGATCGGCCCTACCTGGTGCAAGTCTACCGGCAGGCTCCCATCCAGTAAGCAAGAAAGCGTAGCGATATTTTCTAAGAGCCTGAAATAAGGTTATTAAGCTTGTCGGTCATAAGAAAACCCAATGAGTAGAAAACGCTAACCAACTAGAATCTAGCCGAAGGAAAATTCGTATCACGTGCTTGTATTTGTTAACAAATGCAAGACCTAGCAGAAAACCATTCATAATAGAAGACTTGCTGTCTCATAATCAGTAAGCTTTAAATCCAATATTTGTCATTTTTTAGTAGAAAGGATTATGAAAGTGCGGTTGCCATACTTAATATCTCGCAGCATAATCTAACGATATTTCGACCGAATAAGGAAAAAAATATTTTTCTGCAAGGCTTTTGAAACCTATTTGGCTTGATAAGACTAGTGTACATCTACGGGAAGGAGTATACTATTTCAGTATACTTTTTAGTAATTAGCTACTTTTGGATGTGGCCGAATGGAGGGTCTGTCAAAGGTCGGTATTCACTCGTAAATGAAGCATCCGAAATAGGCTTTTCACTAATTAATATTGTAACCCTTGTTAACTAATGTTTGCCTATCGACCTAACATAACGGATCGGTGCGTATAAAAAATTAATTAATGGAGTTGACCTAGATCCGAAGAAATAAAAGACACTTCAGTGTACAAGAGTGTCAAAAATTAATAGGAAATCCGTATCATACATACAGTTAGTAACCGATATAATAAAATGCTCACGGAGATTCTTTAATGCGTTTCTGATTAAACAGGATTCTTTTAATGGAATTGTCCTGTTGACTGCTTTGGGACATAATTCAATTTGATTGCGGACTTCCGAATGCATTTTTTCGACCCATATAAAAAACGTGAATCCGTTTTTACTTAGAATGTTTGGCCTGATGACGTGTTGCTGAAAACAATTATTCGCCATAAAGTGACTTTTAATGTTGGAGGTGTATGTAAATTTCACTATTGTGGGTTTATTTAATAGAAAATCACTTGTTCTTTAAAATATATCGTCGAATAAAGTATACCTTTCTTGTAAATTGTTTCTCATTATTTGTGGTTTAAAGTCGTGAAATGCCTGTACATACAGCATCGTATTTCTCTATATCTTTAATTATATCTTCGTGATGGATTTTTCCTTTCAAAAAGGTTTGCAGCTTTTAGACTGGACAGGTCAATCCCAAAAGCACTCAAGAATTAAAAAAAGTTGTAAGGCCGTAGAAGACGAGGACATCAATTATTATTCACTTAGCATAAAATAAAAGGAATATAAATTTGTCAGGTAATCGAACAGAAGTCCAAAAAACTACATAATATAAAACAGCACCTTTTTCAAGTAGTAATTTTATAGACGGCGTAAATGAACTGCGTTCAAAGGCCGAAATCCTGTGGTCTCTTACTTATATTAGAACTATGTCGGTCAGACAGTCCGTATTGCAACTCCCCGCTTAGTAACCATTTTACTCGAGAGTAAATTTGAGAATTCAAAATGGCATTTAATGAGTTAGGTTGCGTATCTTTGAAATGCCATTTACTCACTCTTTACAACCGTTAACTTCGAAAGTTATCAGGCAGTCATCCAGCATGCTTCCACCACAAGGAAGCATCAGAGATAGACATTTTTAATGTTGAACTGAGTGCTACTATTTAGCTTTTCGATCTATAACTGCATAATCAAGTAAAGTCATTCCTTCTTTCGAGTAAGGAGCGTAACAACATTGGCGTACCTGCATGTCAACTGGTAGTGGACCGCGGCCACAGTGTCCAGCTCTGCACCTCTATTTCGCCCGGTTCATACCGAATCCACGTCTCCGAGACCAGAAGCCCCAACACCTCCTACTCCTCATCAGCGTATTCCGCCGGTTCTTTCGTTCTCAGCCAGCGCATTGGTCGCGTGTTCTTTGTTCCACCGGATCTCAGTCCCCTTCCACAGCGACCTCGGCATGCAAGTGAGTAAACTAATTCCTAAAAAGTATTCCAACATCATGACTAAAAACCGTTTTTTTGCGTAAGGGGTACATTTGTTTCTAAATTTGTAAGTTAACGTAAATTGCCACAAAAATATCCTCGTTTATTCACCATTGTTCCGTTTTATTAGTGCTTTCACTCGCTCGGCCTCAAGAAATCCTTAACGCCGTCCATTCTAGGAACACCCGGGAGATTTGCATTTTTGTAAATAAAAGCATAATGAGATAATACGTAGACATATTGCAAGATACCAAACCCAGACAGGTGTTTTCTGGTTAAAAAAGGAAAGGAACAAGACTTTTATTCGTCTGAAGTTTCGAAATCCGTCGCTGATATGTCATCATGAACATTAGCAAACAGAGCAAAAAAGACTTATTTATGCAAATTCACTATGCTACGGCCTACTTATGACAATTAGTGACTCCCCTATCAATTTCAATTGCCCGCTTGTGCGCTGATTGCCTGATGGCTGCCCTGCGGACCGTGATCTGCTGATCATATATGAAGGAATTGGACGTGATAATTGCTCGGCCATCTGGCCCCCTGGCGTTGGTGTTAGACTTCGCGTTATCCTGCGCGTTTCTCAAAATATAACCTGCTATGGCCAAATTGAGCCTCAGCCCCGAATACAGATTGGGCAGGTCTTTGCACACGTTTACAGACTGGGAGCCAGTGAAACTCAATTAACTCGCGACTCACACGATTGTCACCTTTTGAGAGAATTTCGGCAACTTGGGAATTGTTGTCACATCACCCTACTGCTGCCGCGTGTTCGATAATCCGCGTCTAAAGAAGTTTTCCAATGTCTCGGACTAAGTCGCTTTGTCCACAATTGCACCAGTCTCTACAGATGACAGTCGTTATCGACCATCAGGATGCCATAGGCCTTATGAAGTTTCGGTTGCTACTGGCCATAACCAACGTTTTGTCAGAGGTGACGCTTACTTGGCTTGTGTTTTGACACACCTAATGAAGCCCATGGCTGACTGATGATCCGTAACAACCGTGAAATAGTTATCTGCGTTTGGCTTGTTGCACCCTTAGCAACGTATCTATGCATCATGCGTGACTAAGAATAGTACTGTGTTGTAACGGTGTCAGGCTCAAGTGCCACCGTCTGATTACGCCTTGGTTGAATCCCCAAGGAAGAAAACAATAACACGGACGTAAAATTGTATGCCATCTGAATGAAGGTTTTATTGTCTACGGAACCCGGAGTGAGTGTCTCGGGTGGCAGTGGCCGCGGGCAAAGCCCCGGCTGATGCACGGACTGCGTCCAGTCCCACCTGAGGGTGTCTGCAAACCTCAGCAAGACCTTGTGCGAGATGTGACAGTTGCTTATAAGTGATTTTAAAGCAAGTTCAAGTTTTGCATTATTGGGTGTCGACTTGCTGGGTGGCCGCAGGGTTGTGCGCTCAATTGGCTCTTGAAGAATTGTAACTAGTTGGGCACGCGCGTGTGCTCTCCTGTGTGGGCGAGTGAATATCCATTGGGCAGTTTAAGTTCGTCGAATAGGAACAGTCACTAGCGCAGACACATGACCTTGAGACCGCTCCCACTCAACAACGAATCATTGTTTGCCGTCGGCCACAGGCACCTGCAAGTTTAACCTGGCAGTCGGTTAGGCTAATTCCTAACAAACGAACAGAAATGGGATCCAGCTGCATCCTTTCCATAGGAGTGTGGGTGGCGCGCTTACAGCACTTTTGTAATGACATCAACATTGCATAGCAGCTCGCCTTCGCGATCTATGACCACCATTTGAAATTAAATTTAAGGATGTGCTGATAGATACGGTAGACAGGGAAAGAAATATCTGGCCATTTCTCTTCGGCGCACTAGGTTTAGCATTGTATTCATTGCGTTTTAACATACCACCATTTATATAAAACCTGCTAATACCAATTTACGCTCCTTGGCGAAGTTTTACCGGTCAATAATTTTTCCCGCTCTCCTGGTACTCACTCTCAGATCGCGAATGGCGATGCACAGTGAATATTCGTTTAGGCAGATAGTACTGCCTACTGATAAAGACTAATGAACCTGAAATAGCAATTCAGTCTGTTTGGTCTTTGCCGGCACTGGTGTATCCGTATTCCGTCACGTAAATATCTGAGCCATATCTTGTTTGCTAGACCTTAAAAACATGTCCAGTGCAATGACCAACTTAACACACACACCTTAGTGCACTTTTTTAATAGAATAACAGATTATTATATAATACTAGCCTCTGTTTTCTTTCTGAAAAGAACTATGTAACATGCCGTCAGTTTTTTTCCAGACATGTTTAAGGAGAATTTTGGTTGTAGTTTTGTTCCCCAGAAGTATAAACGAATCTTATCCACGATGACTAATTAGTCTTTGTTTTTTACTCCTAGTTGGCAGATGGAATCTTTCTCGGATATCCAGGGTTTTGGCTCGTCCATTCGAGATAGTCAACGGTGTCTTATAACAAGGGTTCTTGGTGTAGGAGAGCTTATATTCAACAGAACGAAAGATGTGCGTCAGAGACCTTCGTCTTTCAGCCCCACTGACATCCTATTTTCGCAATTTTAGCATTCAATCGTTGTGATAAGAGTTCTTGTTTCGGTGCCAAAAAAATAGATACTGTAAAAACCGGTAGAATGACTGAAGGATCCACTGCTGTGCCACGGGCAACAGTAGCTTATGTGGCCCCACTAATTAATCCCTACGGCCTGCATGTTTTCCTACGAAAACTGTGTTTATTGGGTTTTATGGGCGGGAAATTAGGACACGCAGTGAAACATATTTCAATAAATTTTAAATGCATTTTTATTTTCCTGTACTTAGAAGTGTTTTTGATTTATATCTGTGGATTTACTTAATCTGTATTATCCTTTAACTTATTGTGGAAAAAAACCGATTATCG